AAGAAATACCCAATTTTGTTTTTTATTTCACTTATTTAAAGCTAAACTTTAGGCTGTTGATTTGCTCTAGTTCTGAGTTGTGGAGGTAGATGGGACATTCTCAGCCAGGAAATTTAAACATCAGCAATTGAAGTCTAAAGACATGAAGTGCCCTGCTTGCAGCAGTGGTAAGCTCCTAACCTCCCCCTGGTCCTTAGGGCAGGCTGCATTCCCAGTGCTGAATCAGCTCAGCAAGTTATTTTCCGGGAGTAAATTAAATCTTGCAGAGCACCTCAGTGCACATTGTCTCTTATTCCAAGGAAGTGGGGAAACTTTCATTATTAACAGGCCCAAAAAATCTTTAAGGAAAAAACAAATATTTAAAACAATCAGGCCTAAAGGAGAAGAAGATAAGTCCATTGCAATGATTAAATTACTACATTAAAGGAAATTTGAGTATAACATTGAAATAGCACTTTTACTCAAGGCTAGAAGAGCTGTTTGAAGGTGATGAAGAAAAAGCAATAAAACGTCTAAAGGAGTTAAATGGAATTTAAGAATTGCCAAAGTTTACAGAGAGAAGGATGCTCTCACCACAATCAGGCCACTTGGGGACCCCATGCTTGAGAGTAAACACTCATCACTAAGGAGGTGGTGACTCCAGTGGGCTGGAAACAAAGGGCATCTGCCTTTGAGAAGTGTCTGTCTCCTCACCAATGAGAAGCTTCGCCACCATGATGTTAAAAACCGCATGTTGCAGTAGGAAAACAATGAAGAATGTGTACATGGATTTCATTCAGTTCCCTGCCACACCATAAAGAACCACAGAAGGCTTCAGTGATCCTGTTAGATGAAGAAAAAGCTACTAAGTTGTGAGCTTCGAGTAACCCACTCTTAATAAAGCAACCAACTGTAATCCTCACATGTGTGTCACTAGAGGAACATATTTATGCACGCATACTTCTTAAAGCCAGGGCAGTGACTTGGAAAACTAGAAAAATCTCTAGTTAATTTTTACACAAGGTTAGGGATCGCTGAGAAGCTACAGATTTCAACTGACCACATGGGTTTTTGTTGTTTGTGTGTTTGTTTGATTTTGAGTGATTCAAATATATAAACTTTACCCTCGTAATACAGGCGGTACAACTGAGGTGAGTATTGTTACAAATGCTTGCCATATATGTGTTTTCATCTCTCTAGCAGTCAATTTTTACCTTTGTAAGAAAAAACACAAAACAATGTAAAACTCATTCAGTTAATATTCACTCATTCAGTGATCTTAAGTCACTTCAAGCAAAATATTTTAAGATGTCGCATCATTATCTCACCGAGCATCGCTAACCTCAGAGTGTCTAACCTTAGGAAGCAAACTACGTTCTTTGAGAAATCATTAAAAAAGGGGTTTTCAAGCCTGTTAACACCATTTTGCACAAAAGCGTTGCTTTTCATTGTGGAAAGCTTGGACACTTGCAGGTGTCTTCCTTCTACTGAAGAAACTGTAAACCAATAACCTCCCTTTCTTGATGGAAAATCTACCTGCCAACAGCGCAAAGACTGATTCCTCCGCCCAAACATACAGTAGAAAGCTGAAAGCTTTGCTGTTGCTCAAATTTTGGTTTAAACTTCAACTCAACTCAGTCACTGAGCAGCAAGATAAACTTGGAGAGTTTCCATAAATTTCATGACCCTTCATTTCTTCAGTTATCTATGGAGAATTTATTTATGACAGTTTAAATATTTAAGTGTAGAATTCAAATAAATAACTCATGTCAAACTGCCTGTGATAAATGCAGCACAAGACCCCGTAAAATTACTAGAATTTGTTGAATCCAAGGGAAATGTCAGAGAAGTACATTGTAGTTTTGTGACTAACAGCTCTGCACTTAAAACTTAAGGGAAAAAAAATCAAAAGAAGAACTTACTTGCAGAATGATGCTCTATATTCAGAGATGTGGTCCTTTTGAAATTTGGGCCATTGTAAACATATGTATGGGGATTTTCAGGTAGTTTTTGTCAGGCTGGTTTTGAAGAATGCTGAGGGTAGGAGACAGCCATCCACCCTGCTGATAACACAGACCGTGGTGCCTAGGAATGACGTGCTTGGTGAGGGTCATGGGACTGAAGAGCTAGTCACTCAGATGAATTCCGTGTCTATCAAGAACTAGTACATGTATTACAATGCATTTTCATGCCATTATTGTCTAGATTGCCTCTGCATTGGCTAGAAAACTGACTTTGCTTTTTGAGAATAGTATTTTGCTACCCTTGAATTTTCATTGACTTATTTTTATTACTCTCCCAATATTACTCATAGAATATTATGGTTTGTATCCATGTACTTGCTCATTGAGTTGTGTCAGGTTACTATTCATGTCATGGCAAGAGATGACTTTTTTTTTTTTTGCACTGTTTTAATCACCAGCCAGTAAATAAAATATAATTTAAGAAAATTTGATATACACATAGACAACTCACAAAACATACAATTTTTTTTCACGATGATAAACACTTTGAAAAATAATTCATCATTTTACAAAAAGAATCCACTACCATTTCTTAAATAGCCAGTTTTTATATTAGAGCTAACACAGATTTATTTACATTCTACAGAGAATGTCAAGATTTCACTACTGGCACATAGGAAGTCCTCTTTAAACCACACTTCCTTATAAATTGAAGGTAATCTTGTTATTTAGCTTCAATTTTGTTAATGTTCAGTTGGACTATCCATAAATCCTCTCCCAAAATGTGTATTTTCTTTTAATATCAAGAAGGAATAAAACAAAGAAAATGCTTTTGACACAAATGGAAAGTGATTTTAAACTTGAGTATTACAAATTTATATATATATATATATATATATATATATATATATATATATATATATATATTCAAGAATAATAACGAAAAACCGAAGTTATTCACTTGAAAGGACATGAGGGCAGTCTCCTTTGAAAACCCATTGTTATTTCCACTTTCTTATTCTGTACTGTCTGTTCCTCTTTGTTACTGCTACACTATAATCAAAGCATAAACTATTTTAAGGGCATTTGACACTACCTACTTCATTGCTACTCATAAAGGCACCTCTCAGTCACCTCCAGAGCTGTGAAAACAGTTATTCCTGGGACACTGAGAAGCAGGTGTTCCCAGATCCACATAAATACCTGTCAGCTTCCAGGAAAATGGCAGCACCCCTCTCAATATGGAAAGCTACCGGACAAAAACAACAACAACAACAAAAATAAATAAAATAACATAAAAAAGAGAAAGAAAGAAAAAACAAAAAAAAGTTTTGTTGGTTTTATTATTTTTAGTGTTGTTCGAAGAGCAGAGAGTATTTGAAATTCAATTCTGATAAGCCATGTAGAAAGGTGACATACAGGGTCATTATTTTAAAAAACACCCAAGAGGCAAGATCTAGCAATAAAAAGAAAAGAAAAGAAAGAAACTCAACATTAAAAATAAGCCTGTAGGGTTTCTATTACTGAGTAGTTGGGGTATTTTGGTAGGACCGTAGATTACTCTATGTGCTGGGACACTGGAGATAAAAGTGTACTTGAAACACTACCCACATTCACTCCAAACGCCTCCAACCTGCTCTCAAATCATCAGACAAAGTAGATACAGGGCTAGGCACACAATGTCTTGGCTTTTCTAATACTTCAAGGCCACAGTTGAGATTCCATGCTGCATATTGCTTAGTCTTCTAACTCCTGTGATTTGGTCTAAAGACTTTAATTTTGTGCACGAGTCTTGTTTTATAAAAATGGACACATATATTTACGGAGCTTTACCTAACTTACTGTTGAAATAACAAGGTCTCAGAACTGAAACCCTTCTATGCAGATATTGTTTTCCTGGATTTTCTATTTGGAGAGCTGTGTTGAAGTAAATGGTTCCTAAAATATGGAAAAGCTCCATCACACATCTTAGGTTATAAGTTGACTCAGTTGCCTCATTTGTGCATGAGATGAAATGGCTGCTATTTAAAACTATCTATCTGAATTGCACACAGGAAGAGTGGCTGACACCGTTATTGCTGCATTTCTTTTGGTCATTTTATACAGTTTTTCTAAGTGCTAAATTACATAATTTCTGTAGTCCACAGAGAAAAATCTGAAGTAAAATAGACTCAACAATTTTCACTGCTTTAAAGTAATGTTAATAGCACATGGTGAGGAGACTTTCTATGATGGCAAAGGAGACACAATGACACAATTGAAACTTTAAGAAATCCACAGGGATATTTCAGGACATGTGTGAATATTTTTCTTTCAAAAGTCTGGGAAATGAATGAAATCTAAGGAAAATAATCTTATAAATGACAAAATAAACAGGAATTCGAAACTTTCACTGTGTTAATTCTACTGATAAAGGTTTGAGTCATTTTCATTTTAAAGAAATGTATTCCCATTGTTCAGGGGAAGCGGAAGCTGTTTGTTCCTCTACTCAGTGACACGTAGTGGTCAGAGCTTCAGAAAATAATTTTTTTTTTGTATTTAGATTCTGGCGTGAATTTATTTTCACTTGTGTCGCACAAGTTACCTAAAGTACTTGAACAATCAGAATTCATTATTCTTTTATTACTGAGAACCTTGCAAAGAGCTGGATTTCTAAAATGTGGACAAAGGGCCATATTTATGTTGATAAGTAGTTGAGTTTAACATTCAAAGCTTTTTTTTTTTAAGTTAGAGATATGAACTTCATGACAAAATTCCAACACAAGTTGTCAATCAGGACAAAACTTTACTATTGAATGGATAGCTGAAGAGATCTGCAAACTATATCAGAGTTTCTTGTAATAGAGTGTCGGAATGTCGACCCATGGGTAGATGCTTTCTTGTTTTAATTGCGTCTGATAGTTATTTACATGAAGAAGTAACTAAACTGTAGGCTGGATGAACATCTTCAGTGAGTGAACTCTAGTAATTTCCCCCAAGGTATGAAAATGCCTCGTGTTTATTGTTTCAACATAGACCATTTGCATACAAAAATATCTATCGTAGGAGTCACTTTACCACATGGAATCATTTGCATTGGTTTTAATTGAAAAAGATAGCTAAAAATTTTCTGTGGCTTATTGTAACAGTACAAGGATAAAAGGTGCGTTTATTTAACAGAAACACTTGTAAAATAAACTGTGAAAGCAAAAGCAGGCTACAAAAGAGGAGGCTTCATGTTGCTTCTGCTTTGTTCAAACATGTTACAGGTTAACTACGCCACAATGGATAAACACTGGAGAGTGTAAGTTAGCAGTTGATATTGTAATTTCAAACCTTGCACCTGCCCAGAGCACTATGGAAAATATGTATAGGTATGGGTAAACACTCCTCCTCCAAGTGTCACAATCTTGTGGTCACATAATCTTCAGGGGCAGATGTGTCCGTGGGGCTTAAATCATAGTCTATGCTTGAGTCCTCCTCCTGGGCATGTTTCTCCTTTGGTATGATAGGGACGGTGTCTTCCACCACCACCTTCTCCGACTTGAAGGAGGAGCACACCCTCTTGCCTACCTGTAAACCCAAAGTGTCCGTATTCCTTTCTCTATGGTCTACTAGCACACACTGTTCACTGAGACCAGGAATGCCGCGGTCACCCCGTGAAGCTAATCCTTGGGATTCCAGTTGGATATTTCTCTCAAGTGGTCCTGCCGCCTGTTGACGAGTAATTTCTTCTGAAACAGAGAAGATTTGGTTTGCGTTTTGCTCAGCAGCATTTTGTTTTGACCGTCTATGAAATAACCCGAAGTTTTTGATATCAGCCACAAAATTCACTTTTCTCTGCTTCTCCCTGGGCGGCTCCTGCACCACCAGGGCGGAACCATTGCTTATGTTATGTCTCTCGGAGGCAATGACTGCCGACCTCGGGTGGATCAGAGTGGTTAAATCAAAGAGGCTGAGATTCTTTTTCTTGTCCTTGCTATTACCTTCGCTATGGCTCTTTTCATCGGAGTCTGCTGAACTCGCTGCGTTGGCTGACTGTATAGTGGAGAGCTTGCTTCCTCTGAGCAATCCCAGAACTTCAAAGCGGAAGCTAGAAATGTCTTGCTTTAGTTCCTGGATGAAATTCAAATGGCACATTAGGTGGTGACTTAGGGAAACATCATTTCCTAGTTTCATACATCAGTACTGAAATGGTCCTGCGTCTTTTGAAGACCCAGGGCTCTGCCTGTCCTCGTGGAATTCTACTTAGAGTTCTTTCTATGACGTTTGGGTCATTATTTTCCCTAATGGCATTTTATATTCTAGTATAATGTTTATTCTTTACTGCTAACATGACTGAGCAGAGAGATTCCTAGGACATGCTTCAGGGTGGGTCAGTGATGCTAGACAAAGTCACAGGGCCCATTCAGTGGACTAATTTCATTATCTACTCACAATACCATGGCATTTGCTGGTAGTTGGGGCCTACTGGAAGAAAGATCATGATGAGCATGTCCACGGGCCCACAGATCTAGTCCTGGCCCCTTTCTACTCCTGGCAGCCATCGTGTGAATTACTCCACCCTGCCCTCTCTGCCATGATGGACCTATGCTTCCCAAATAAAGACTTTCTCTATAAAGTTGCTTCTCTTCAGTGTTTTGTAACAACAATGAGGAAAGCAGATGGGAGGCAAAAAAGAAATCTTTTAAGGGTGACATAAAAAGAAATAGAAGGGATTGTACTATCTGTCACTGTTCAGTGGGTTTCCTATTTTCTTGGAGATGGTGGTTTCAAACATTTCCTCTCTGGAGTCTGCATCTAACTGTCAAGCCATTCCATGCCCCTGGGGTCACATGTTTTAAAACAGTATATTTTTCTATGTAAAGGCATGTCCAAAGTAAAATAACATGAACTCACTCTTCTGAGAAACTGCCAGCTCTCAGTACCTCTGGGAGGGCCTTACACCAACCCTTATGTTCATAAGTACTGACTCTGATTCACAGGAGGATCCTAGACCCCTACCTGTTTCTTATCTCTTTGGGAAACCTCTTCTTCAGCCTTCTTCCACCCCCACCCCCACCCCAACAACACTGTCTTCCAGGGCAATGGAATCATTTAGCCTCATAACTAAGATTTCCAGTTGCAGAAAAATATTTTGGAATTTATTTGAAATCTGTGCTGTAATTTGAAAGTTCCCCTACTTACTTAACTGATTGTTTATATGCTGTTTCCATAAAAGGCCTTTTATGCTTCCTTTTTTTAAAAATTTTGTCTGTAAAACCATATTAACATTAAAGCCTTCCTTCAAAATTTCTAGACAGCTATGTAAAATAAAAGATCAATTTACATTTAACTTTAAACATCATTGTCCCATATTCACTTATTTCCTCTCATAACTCTAAAAATAGAAAATCAAGTGCAAAGACTAATTCGTTGTAATTAGATCAAACCTTAAATATCTGCTCCAAGAGTGCAGAGACCTATGCAGCATGTGCCATTGCTAGCGTGTTGGTGAGTAAATGCCTCTGATTTAGAAATCAGGCTGACATACAAATGCGTAGTTCACTTAGCACAGCAGGGATTAGGGTCATGGGGCAGAACGCTACCAGGAACTAGGGTTTTCCTTGCCACTAAGTTAAACCCCCTTGACAGTTTGGGTTAAATATGTTTCAAATGCAATTTAGGAAGTTTCCCCACTTTGCTGTTGTCTTTCTGTGTATCTGTCTGACCTCTGCCTAAATTTCATGGGAAGTTTAATTCAAAACACATGGATCTCTGCCAGAACACGTAAAGCTGGGCTTGTAACTCTGATGTTAAGGGCTGCCTCCTCCCTCCGCCTCTTGGATGAAGGTGAACCATTACCTTAACATTCTCCTCTGTCAGGCCTTCTTCCGTTTTTGCCTCTCTGATCATGGCTGCCACGTAGCGCTTCACCAGGTTCCTCATCACCTCCTGAACAACGGGATCGACATTAAGCGCGGGGGCTCACTCTCTGTCCCAAGTCAGGTCTGCACATGTCATTTGGACAACAGTTTCAAGATCAAACACAAACTACTTACTTGGTATTGGTGATGTCTTCTCAAGTTATCGGCAGCACGCCTCTGAAAAGGAAAGGGCATTCCTGTGTGGTTATGTAGGTACATGATTATCTGAGAAGTCACTGCTTTTACAGATAAGGCTGGTCTTGTGTTTTATCACCAAAGTGGGGCCAATGAGCCACAGTCACAGAGAGGCTCCACACACATCCAAAGAATCAATGAACGGAAGTGAGAAAAAGCAACGTCTGTAACCTACAGGACTCTTAAAATAGAATAAATTAACGATGGTAGATAGGCTTAGGGGGCCATGAGAGAATTAGCTAATCATGCTGGATAGTCCTCCCTGCCTCCCTGGAAATACTGCAAGGCAGAGATAGGAAAGAACCAGGGAAGAAAACAGCAAATGGAAGTAATGTTTTCTCATAAATATCAGCATAGAAAAATGTAGAAATCAGTCATCGTAGGTAGCAATACACAATCAGAAACCTTGGAGGGTGCTGAACTTGGAACAGCTGTAATCACACACCCGATGAAGGGAATTCCCATTTTTAAAGAGGTGAGATTTAATAAAAAATCAAGAAATAAAGAGCTGTCTTCAGACACACTGCTAATTAAGCTTTTTAAAATGGCGAGAGTGTGGCTTTCAGCTACCTTTATCTGTGAGGTTTTGGAGATGGGACCCAGGGAATCCAGGGGGAAAGTGCTTCCTCCAGGGATTCACACCCTCAGTTACCTCTTTAAAGAGACTTCGATGCCTCAGGAGCAGAGGCAGGCATGCTTGTAATATCAGTTTTATTTATTTATTTATTTTAGTACAGAATTGAGAAAAGATGGTTGGTGATAGAAAAGGTCCATTAAGAACCAAGTTAAACAACAAATGAGATTAAAAATTTATATTTTCACCTTTCACACGTATTCTAAAAGCATTAGTAAAAACTTGTCTATGGTGACCCCACAATATTGTATTTTAATGAGCAGTAGCATTGATTCTGGAAAAAAATCAATCTAACTAAAAACATTTCTGAAATAAAGGAATTAATTTGGTATATTTTGAGAAGCAAAGGGAATAATAGTTCGTGGTTCCTAATAAGGCTTTTGATTTTATTTCCTAGTAAATATTTAACCATAGGCTGATAAAACAGAATTTTAGAAAGAGCAGTGCATGAATATAAAATGACCTTTTGAAAATTTTTAAAAGTCAAAATTTTATTCTACTGGACCTTAGCAGTGTCTCTGTTTCAAGACAAGCAGCAATATACAGAAAGAGAGGAAGTCACTGCTTTGATTCCTAAAGCCACTAATTACTAAAAACAACATTCTCTGCATGAGAAATTATATCCTTCTAGGATTAAGGTATTTGCTGAAAAACTAGGGAATTAGACCACGTAGAAGTGTGTAGCATGGGAGTTTTCTGGCTAGGCCACCAGATGGGGGTGGTATCTGCCTCCTGCTGAGGCAGAACTCAGGATAAACTCCGGAGAGAAAACGCAGTTCTAGAAAAAAAGCAATGGATTTCTTAAAATGAGAAAAAGTACTAAATGAGTTGTATGCCAATATCTTTAACACTCACTAAAAAATATCCAACAAATGACATCCAGAATACTTCAAACTTACGACCCTTAATTTGACATAAAACCAACTTAGTTGGTTCACCTCCACTGGTTTTAATGTCAAAAGATGTCTGAGGCTATAGTTGAGCTTTATTGAGCATAAAAGTAGGGTTAAGGTTGGTAGAGTCAGAGTTAGGAATGATGGCAAAAACATCATGGTGCATTTAAATATTAAAATGAGCACATTTTCTTCCGAGTTCTAGAACCTTCCCCAATATCTATAGTCAACATTTTAAATTCAAATATGAAATGAACAAAAAGCACAGTTTAAAGTGAACCATAATATATTTGGCTTGGGCAAAGATTTGAAAAATAGGAAAAAAAAGCTTGTCAGAAAAAAGGAAGAGCATAGGAAAAACTTACTTCACTAACTGGGGGGGTAAATTCGCAGGTTAGTTTTCGGACTAACCTAATGCGGTCCACTTTTGTCAACTGTTGGTTTTCTCCGCGTCCCCGGTAATTACATAATACCTTTTAATCTTGAGAAGTTGCATCAGCTACGTAGTGTCAACATCTCTGCTAGAGATGAAATTCTCCCCTTCCTAAAATCGAGTAAATCTGGATCCAGCACACTCGCCAAAGGATGGGCGTGAAGGCTGCGCTGCATCCCATCTAAGCCATTCTCTGCTGTCTCAGCATGGATCCTTGTTTTAGTCTCTGCCCTTGCCTACCTGTCCCTATCGTCTGCATTCGAAGCGGGCGGCGGTGTTGCAATATGAAGGACAGGGAGCTAAAGTTAGATGTGGATAGACGGAGCATATCTCAGGGGGACTTTACACTCGCACAGTGAAAATAAACTCATTGGCTAATTTAGGATATTAAATAAGAGATATGATCCGAAGCATGTGTCACTGGGCTTAGCTCCCTTCATCTTTCCATTTCTTCACTGATTAACTAAAGAGTTGCACAAATTAAAAAATATTTCTGGATCCTTAAGCTTTGTAAACTGACCAATCTCTGGGTTACTTCTGAGGTAACATTTTGAATGCATTTGCCTCTCTTTGAGGGATTTTTTTATGAGTTGTGTGCTTGTCAAAGTACTTTGTGAAGCTAGATTATGAGATATCACTACCCTGGAAGTGAAGGGAGGTGGGAATGGGAAATTTGCTTTTAAGTGATCTGGAGGGACAAGATGGTCAAACCCGGAAGTCAACCTTTTTTAGTGGGAGTCCGGGATATTCATCTGCATGGCGTTGAATGTCTGATACAATCTCTTTGAATTTTCTTTTGTCTCTACAGAATAGTTATTTGATTATACAGCCAATTTAAAATATATTATTTGGTGACTACATGTTCATATACGCAATATTCTTTTAGAGGCAAAAAGCCTCTAAGTAGTAAGTTGATTAAAACACACTTAAATGGCTTGTTGTCTATAAGATGATGAGGTGACTGAGACACAGATGGTGGAAAATACATCATTAAAGATGTTGGTGAAGGCTGTGTGTGTCCTATGAACACTGCAGGGAACGAGGAGTGAGGGTTTGGGCTGAACATGAGGCACCAGGATTCTGACAAGTCGAGATGGGCAGGTATTATTGAGAGAAAAATTATCAGGGAAGTTAGTTTGTGTTCTTCATGAGAAACTTTTGATGGCACAAAGGAGCCGGTGGCTGCTAGCCCCTGGATTTTTAATTAACCAAGTGTCATGGGAAGGAAGGGTGACATCTTTGACAGTTGTCTGGCATCAAGCAGGAAAGAACTTTGAGGCTTCTGACCAGGGTCGTAGATTTTTGGCATTCTTGGTCTGGAAACTGCATCCCTCAAGATCTGTGTCCCGCTTCCCACAGTGTCTGTGTCTGCACATGGCTGGAGTCTTAGAAAACTCTTATGGCCTCATCCCACACACAACTATGGTAAGTTCACATTCCAATGTACTAGGGTTTCTAACTTAAAACTTGGAGGTTAAGGAGAGCCAAGATAGCGAAACTCATGCATACGTTCTGCAACACACATAATAAATTGTCGCCAATTAGTGATAACATTAAATGTCATATAGCAGACCTACTTTCAGAGATATTTGGGATAGTTATAACCTTGCTATTGGCTAAAACTCTGCTGACATCCAAAGGCCTTTTATTATCATCAGGGAAGGGGATGCATCATGACTGTCACTGGAACCGGGAGTGCTTTATTTGAAAGTGCCAAGTGAATAAGGACAATAAGGTTTCTGTGAAGCTGTTGTAGTGGTGAGAGTTGCATTTTGTAGCTTTTATCTTTAATTTTAGATTGGTTGTCAATTCTGCCTGACAGGAAAATGGTCCAAGATCAAAGACTTAATTTAGCATGAGTCTGGGGAGAGCATTTTGGAGAATATGCATATAATATTTTCCTTCTCTTTGTCGGTTATACCATATGTAGCTGGACAGCATGTGGAATGTTCTCTGGTGGGATGGCATTCAACATAGGGCCTGGAGATACACCCATATGTCACGTAAGCATAAGCAGGCTTCACCTTATGTGTTAGGCTTTACAATGACATTTGAATCATAGAACTATTGGAAAAGAAAAAAAAAATGAAGTGCTGAGAAGCCTTGACTACTGCCAGGGAAGTTGAGGTTTCAACAGCTTCACCAGGCTCTCTCAAGCTGAGAGAGAGGTTTGCAGCAGGAGAGGGGCTCCGGGGAATGCACCATGACATTTGCTAGCTTTTTAGCTTCCATTCTTTCCAGGTCTACTATGAGGAATGTCAGGCGTTCTGCAAAAGCTGATTCCCTGCAGTCAACGTTCAGGGTCATTTTCTTTCATTTCCACTCCAGTTTCTGTCTGTCACTGAGTTCCCAGCCCATGAATTATGCCGTTTAGTCTTCCCTGTGCTCAGTGCAGCCCTTTAAGGATGCAACCTGCTGTGCATTCTCCTTCAGAACTATGAAACGGCAAGAGGCCAGTGCAGGATGGAATCTTTACTCCAAAAATTACAGTTTGATTCTGTTTGAGATGAATTTACTTAGTGTCCCCCATAACACACTTTTTTATAATTAACAGCATGCATTTGTGAATTCTGGTTCATAAACACATTTTCTGAGTGTATAAAATAAAGATATCGTATTGTCAGACCGAGTGATCAGGGCATCATTCCTGAAGTTCCCAGAGTATCTATCAAACAGGCCCTATTACCATCTCCCATTTGAAAAGGCAAGTTGAGTAAATCCTCTCCAGCAATGCTTACATCACTAACTTGGAAGCCACGGTTTTCATGGATGGCTGCCTTTTTCTGTAAGATCTACAGGCAAGCCTACTGAGAGTGGTGAAGCTTAAGCTGTACATTTTGACAAATTACCACTAAAGATGAAGTGCAGGCCTGGACTACTGTCTGTCTTCTTTTAGAACTGCCGCAGGGGGTGAATTCACAGGCTCTAATTCCCTTGCCACTGATTTAATTAATTGTATTTCTGTGGCAACTGCTTAGTCGTTAATAGCTCATCCATATCCCAAGACTGAGTGACACTCAAC